CAGTCTTTATTTATTATTTTGCAGAGCTTAATTTATTTTAATAGTAATGTAACATTATTCTGTGTTTATTACAGAATCTCTTAAAAGACAAGAGGCTGGGTTCCAGGGAGAGGGTAAAACCTGAGAAAAGTCTAAAATGATGCCTTGTTATTCAGACCAGGCAGGATCTATCACCTCACTTGCCACAGCCCACTGTGATCTCAGGCTTGACCCACTGTTCCTCTATCATCCGCTAGACAAGCTTTATTACAAACAAAGATTGTGAAGTGCTCAGTCATCATACAATTGCAGCCCTCTATAAATTCTTTAAACAGAAGCATAACAAGAGAATCACTGGCGTGAAGAACTCCAGTGTGCCTTAACATATGGGAGCAACCCTGTCTGTGAATGCATTGACTGCTTCCCACTCCATCATCTTTCCAGCATGTGGGAACTCCACCATGAGGAGTGATCAAGGGACCACTACACATCCTCCATTGGCAACACTGTCAAAACAAGATAAAGCCTGTCTCTACCCACGCTATACACCACAGTGAGTCAAAAGGATGGATGTTCCTGGGTGCCCCTTGTCCCAGTGGCCTCTCAGCTCCAAGGCCTGTTTCACCAGGCTGGCCCTGAGCTGTACCGCATGTCCAGCATCCTCAGGAGCAACACCAGGAGGTGATGACAGTGCAATAATCTGTGCAGGCATGGCAAGATCCTTAAAGATAACCACATATAAAAGGGAAAATGAATGAGTGAGTCACCTCTGCTTTAACTTACCTGGTGAACTCAAGCTAGTCTCTATGGAGATGTCTTGGAATTCAGTTACTGCTTTTTGTTTAAGATCTCCAAGTTTTCTACTTGCAGCTAAAAAATGTGAGTTTTTACACTCCATGGAAATAGAATTGCTTTGTAATATGGATGGAACATAAATTTATTATTTCTTCCTTATGAGTTAATTCAGAAAGTTGGCATTGCACATGAAGCTAACAAGGTCATACAACAAAACATATATGTTTCATTCAGAAACAACTCTTTCTGTTCTCAGCAGTGGATCTGCTCTAAAATTTTAGAGCTGCTTAATTTATACTTGTTTTTAATACTTGCTCCCATTTCAAACTGTAGTCTTGAATTAGTTCAAACTTAATGAATATACCTAAGCTCTTGTTTATTAGCCACCACTTTGTCATCAATTTAACAGTTCTTGCTTTTGAAACATTAATTTCTTTTGTTATTGATACCTTGGGAGGTATTCATTTGACCGAAGAAAGGGGTCTCTAATGCTTACTGAACTAAGTAACCTGGGGTCTTTCAATAATCAGTGGAGAGATGTATCAGACTTCCTCAGTCTGACTGATCTCAGTGCTTAAGAAAGTCTTATTCACTTACTTCTTGTGGAGAGATACATTGTAGGGAGATTATCTCAGATGATGAATTTATATTGCAGATATTTAATATCTGGCAGCAGAAAACTCATCCCTTACTTCTACTGAAGCTTCACTTTTCATAAACTTGTTATTTTTGATAATTTCCTTCCTACTTACCTGTTAGAACTCTAAAACTAAAATTCCAAACTAAAGGCATTTTGTAGTCTTGGTATGACAATGCTCTCAATCAGTTATATCTCTGCTGTAGAAGGAAACACGTGTCTCTGATTAGCACTGAGCATTTTAATGATGTAATCAGTTGCCTAGTAAAGGACCTGAGAAGCTGAACTTTGGTCTCGGCATTTGAAGTGACTAGTGATGAACAAGACAGTACTATTTATGCTCTGCACTTCTCAAGGAGCCACATTATGGAAATAACTAATTTGGAACAAGCCTGTAAAGGCAAACTTTAAAACTCTCTATGCTTTTCTAGAATGTTGCATATCCCCATCCTTCCCAGTTTTTAAAGTTCTAATATAAAGGGAGCAAAAGGAACTGAGAAGCTCCATGAAATAGTGTACAACATTCAGAGTGTGGGGTTTTGGTCCAAATTTCCAAAAGTCAGAGGGAGCTAGAAACTTCAGGCACAAAAGCAGTGAGTAATCATTTCTTCTTGTGTGTTGCCATTGATTCTGATTCTCCCTTATGTTTGTTAAATGATTTTTCCTTCCTATTCTCTCTGCAGAACTCTGATGAATGAGGCAGTTTGTTAAACATGGAAATACGCACAAAGAAGACTATTTAAGGTTTATAAGTGACACCTAAATGTAAGATCCTTCCCCCTCTGCCCCTTCTTTACCCAGTACTCACAACAGAAAACAGAATTTTCAGAGAAATTCATAACAAAAATGTCTACTGCTACTACCACTACCTTATTTCTGACATTTGGAGTAATTACATCCCTCTTTTTTGTTTTTCAAAGAGTGGAGTTGGTTAACGCAATATGACAATAAAACAGAACTTTCTGTTCCAAGAAATATATCTGTTTCCTCCCACAGAGTACATAGTGCTGCCAATTCTAATTATTCTACCTTCTATTCTATTCTTCTGAGAAACAGAATTGACCAGAAGAAAAGATTAGCTCAGTCTTACTTTCATTTTGCATGTGAATGGTTGCCCCAGGCTTTTCTTAAAGTGACTTTTCCATTGCTTCACTGTGAACCTGGACTCTCCTGCACTTTTCAATCTTAACCCCTTCTGCCTTTCACACAGAAGCAGCTCTGTCCTAGATTCAGCAGCCCTTTTCAGTTTGTTTTCAGAGCAGGTCAAGGAGTGGGAACTATAGGCAAGTACCCAGCTATCAGCAAAACCAAGCAGCCACCAGAAGCAAGGCTGCTGCAGGCCAGCTACAGGGCTGGGGCCAGGCACCACTTGAGTGTGTTGTACAGATAACGGGAACAATCCAAACATCTCCTCAGCCCTGTGCTTCATCCTTGTGCATACAGCACAGTGTTCCCCCCCCCCCAGAGGGGATGGAGGTGAACTGTCTCCAGTTTCAGCCACATCTCACTGCTGCTGGGGCCCCTATCTAGCATTTATCCCAAGATGTAGAATTCAGCACTTCAGATCAAATCACTGCTACGTGCCTGGCTTCCTACACACTGATGCTTGATGCGCTTCTTTGAAATGGAGAGAGAGAAATATCTGCAACAAACAGGAGGTAGAGGAGATAGAAATGTCTTCTTACATGATATGCTGCTTGTTCTTTGCCTCCAGACTCCCCTTTTTTTCATCAATGGGGGAAGCAGCTTGTGAAAGTAAAAACCACTCTAATCCTATTGGAAAACAAATGCACAGTAAACCTTCCTTCTTCTCTAATTTCTGTAAAATTATGTTAAATAACCACCTCTTCTGGAGTATTGAAGAGATTCTAATATGCACATCATGTGCCAAACTCTCAGCTCTCAGTAAACATATTCACATTGCACTGTGCATAACAGGCTTTTGCTGATTGAGCTTTAGTTTGATCATTCTCATAACGCTACATATACTTTTGAAATGTGAGCATGCTTTCTTATATAGTTTTTCCAGCAGGAAGAAGTAAAAATATATTCTTCTGGGAAAAGACATTTTCCTTCATGTCTCAGTCTGGGTTTTAACAGTAATACTAATGCTAATAACAAATAATATATTTTGGCACGTGGCAGCTGGAGGACTTGATTGGCAGTTAATGAAAGATAAGGTGGATTCATTGCATGGAAAAAATTATTATTGAACAACTGAACCAATGCCTGTTACACCTTGGCTTTCCAGTCCTAATGTGAGCCAAATGTTACATCTGAATCTGCAAAGCGTGTAGTACTTTACAGATGTCTAAGGAAATAAATTGTTGTGTATATCAATTTTCTTGTGACATTTGCTCTTTATAGTAACTGATCTGAAACTGAACACATGTTCCAGCAATTAAGATGGCTGAAACAATGTAAGACTCCACTGCTTTAAAAGGTTCCCACTCTACAGTTATGGGCCAAAGCAGAACCCTAGCGCAATAGAAAAAGTCCCAATGTACCAAATACTGTTCTCAGAGCATTTGTTGTTTGTTTGGCAGTAATGGATACTTCAGGACTTAATAATTACCCAAAATAATTCATCTTTCTTTTAACAAACATCTATACAATAAATTGCAGAAAGGACAACCTTGCCAAGCTAGTCTTAAACATCATTACTACTTGTTGACATGAGCAAGCACAGGGGCGACAAAGAGAAAGCAATGGCACATAGCACCCATTGATGGTCAGTTGGTTGTCAGCTTGAGTTTTGTGTTTTGGGATGCTGACCCTCTTGTATGATTTTAAATGTACATTTTAATTGATAGTGGGGGAACACAAGGAATGTTAAACTGCAGGGTAACCCTCAGTTTTCTAATACATGTACGAGTTAAACTTACTTGCATAGAGAAAATACATTTTTATGAACAAATACAAAACTTATTTGAGAAGAAGGACAAGAATGCATCAAAGCACCTATGCAAGCAGTGGTAATATTTTTCGCCCATCCATGGATAAGGACCTAAACTTTAATCCAGCATCCAGTTTGCAGCATGGAAAAGGCAATGGAACTCAAAAATTCTCAAAGGGTTATGGAAAGAAATGCTGTAGTCTGCATTTCTGCTTCTGCATTTAAGTGTTTACATCACTCTAATATTGTCAGTTTTCCCAGCTCAACTATCTACAGCTTTTCATCTTGGTCCTGTAAACACTCTGCCCTCAAGCTTTAATTTCTTCATATGAGTAATCCTTTCTGAAGTCACTGTAACTATTCAGGTGCATAGTTATACTTGCATAGAAATGTGTGGAGGCTCAGGGTCTTGGAATGAAAAATTGAAATGAATAAATGAAATATGAGCTTAAAAGAAAAGTAGTCATACCTACCATGATTGCAGCTCTGCAACTGGTATTTTACTCATGTATAATGGATGCCATGTTGTAAAAACTCATGGTGCTCCAGTGCTGTCTCGCTGTCTCACCCACTCTGTTTTGTTTCCTCTGAGAAACTTTAAGATGACTTCAGAAAACAAGAAACTACATCCACTTCTATATCATTGCATCAGTTTATTATCTTTTTAAAGAATATTGCAATAATCCAGGGATAATTTGGACAACCTACTGCACTTCTTTTTTTAGCTTCTCCTCTAAGACGCTGTCAAAAGGCACTTCAGTGTGTCAAGCCATCCAATCAAAATGCCAGTAGAGCCCCACAGTCTGCAGTGTCAGAAGCTAATGTATTTCTCCTATGGACACAACACATGAAGGAAAGTCAGAAGTTATTTTCTTGGAGTTTAAAAAGATGTTATTTTGAGGCTGTCATTTTGTAACAACATTAGTGTTTTATGCAGCTTTCTCTTTTTGAGTATGTAATCAGTGTAAATTCACCTCTTTGAAGAGTTCATATGCAGGCAGTCCTCCTTGGTGTTGGCCAGAAGAGCTGGATAGGATGACCCTATAAGTATTTAGTGAAAAATAATAAATCAATGTTTGTCAAAAATCCTTGAAGGGAGGCATTATTGTCATTCTGTATTTTAAATAGATGCAAAAATACTTCTTTTGATTTGATATTCTTCATGGAACAGCTCTGTCATTTATGCTACATTTTCAGTTTATGCCACCCAGGACGTGTCAGCGTTATTTTCTGATATTTACTTGAAAGCTGACAGGATTACATTCTGTTTGTGTTGAGCAACATAAACCACATTATTAGCATGTAGGATTTAAGCAATAGAGTGCCCTCCTTCAGGTGAAAGAGTCAGATATCTATTTGACTGGATAGTCATGTGTAAGTGCTTTTATTTAAGTGCATTTGGTAATTTATTACTTATTAACAGAATAGGACACTTTTTAAATATTGGGAAAAGGTAAAGGTTCCAAAAATCACTGAAATGCAATCATGATTCTTTTCCTTTTTGGTCAGCTGCAAAATAACAAAGATGTTTTCATTGTTCTGAAATGAGGTATGTGTTTTTCAAGACTTTCTAACGATACTCATTTTCCACTCTTGGCTCCTGAAATTCTAGGTCAAACCTATTAACATCTGTGAGGTTCTGTGTAACTTAGATTGGGTTTCAGGGAATGCAAAATTGGTAACTCAGATTCACCATATGCTTAGAACAGAGCAGGTAACTGTACAGTTCCATGTAAAGGAACAGCTCTGAAATAATTTAGCACAGTATTGAAAGAAGGGAAGGAAAGTTTTCATCAGAAATCTCATTCCTTTCAGAGAAGCTAAAAATAAGTAAGTTAGTGATGAAAGGAACCAGGAAAATGTCTTGCTAAGGGCTGATACTGGCTTTTCATAACAGACAATAAAGAAAAACTTCACTTCTGTTGTGCTTGAATGTGACACCATATCCACTTTCGTTTCCATAGGACTGTTTATCTACTTTCACAATAAATGATAGTTTTTATTCCTTTACAAATGTTACACATGTAGCACACCCATTTTCATAGATCACAATAAAATACTAAAAGAAGAGCAGTTAGGTGAATGTTAGACTGAAAGACTGGGCGTGCATACATAAGGGCCGCTCTGAAAGAAACGCCTCCTGTTTTATTATGTTGGCCCACAACAACAGAGGTGGATGTTGATGGTAGGGCAGTACAGGCTGAACCTTCCCAACAATATTCTGTTACATTTTGCTACTGTGCAACAGGTGGCTGCAGAGGGGTAGTCTGACACAGTGGCATTTGATATGGAAGTATGTATGAAACAAAGGGGTGGAACTGAATTCCTCCATGCAGAAAAAATGGCACTGATTGGCATTCATCAATACTTGCTGAACACTTATGGAGACCAAGGATGCGAGCCCAGTGAAACAGTGGGTGCTGCATTTCAGCAGTGGAGAAAGCAACAGTGGGTCACCTCCAGTGGTGCAGATTTTTGAGTGCAGCTTGCAGGCTCTTGTTCATCTCCAATGAAAATGCACAGCTAATGGTGGTGACTATGTTGAAAAACAGTGTTTTCTAGCTGAGAACTTTATGAAAATGTGTTATTGTGCTCTTTGTATCTCTTGTGGTTCCTATGGAAATAAATAAGAGGCATTATTACTTTCAGAGTGACCTAAGTATATGCGTGTGCAACTGTGTTTAGGGGCTTTTTACCACACAAGGTGTTATCCAACATTATACCAATTTTTCTGTAACTTTAAATAAGCCAAAATTATATAGTAAGAATATAGGACAATCATAAATATCTTGAAATTTATTTCCCTTGAGGGAAAAAAAATAAAAATAAAATTACTTAATAGAATTTCACCATCCAGAATACTTGCTTCCATGCTGGCTTCCATCAAAATTAATTTGTTATGGCACAAGGATGACGTTCCCACAGAAATTCAGGTACCAGACTGATGCTGTAATTGTCCCTTCATTTCTTCTAAGATAAATGCTTTTCAATTCCACTTCTACTGAATGCTATAGCACTTTTCCACAAAGAACAGCACTTAATACACTTTTTTTTTTTTTTTTAATTTAAATGGAAGTATAGTTGCATTAAAACTGATCACAGTCATTTTGAGGATGAAATACCGGCTGGCATAGGAATGCAGCACACCAGCTGGCACTTTATCCCATGCTCACTGGGGTCTGACTTGATTCACATTTGATTAGGCCTCTGGAGATTTCAATATCCTCTAATTTGTCATCTATTAAGTGTTGCATTTATCACCAATGAGAACAAAATCAACCTTTCTTCCCTTGTCCTTACTACTTCCGGATATACTAATGTACAGAAGGTAAGAAGAAAAAACAGTAGTGGGATGGGTCAATCTTATTTGCCAAGATTTCTGTACAGGGGATTTGGTGTATTTTGTGGTTCCCATTACTGCTCGAAGTCAGCATATCTACCTTTTATCAAGGTCAAACTAGTCTTTATTTACAGTTTATCTGGTTCAAAAATAAATGCAACCACAAGCTGTTACAAGCTCCTCACACATGATAATTGTTACTTTGCAAAACTTTGCCTTGGTCATCCACCTTTTCCTTTATTCACCCTGAAATTCTCACCTAACCTGAAGATGAAGAGGCAAAAAAGCAGGCAGAAAAGTTCACTGAGGCCCAACAGTCATTGCAGTCTACGCTCCCACTTAAAAAGAGCAATGATTTTTTTTTTTTTTTTTTTGCATTTATGTGCTTGGAGATAAATCCCAACAGTGTGGAGCGTAACATTGACTGCTAAATATGCAGCTTTCAGTTGGCAAGCTGCTGAATGGCTCTCACCTCTGATCCTCTACCTCACAATGAGGGGCACCAGAAAGAACACTATTAAGAGACATGAAACTATTTGCAGGTGTGGATTTTTGTTCAACAGATCAGGAATGTTTTTCTTATGAATCTATCCTGAAATTTACAAATTAAAATGGTTTTAACATACACTCTAAATCTAATAACTCCCTCAGTGAGGAGCAGCTAAGACAAATTCCTCTGTTCCCTGATTTTTTCAAATATTTCTTCTCTCACAGAATAACATATATGCACCTGATGTTTGATTCAAAGCCCACTGGAGATGCTATTGCTCTTGCAAAGGTGTGAGAGAGAAAGCATGAAAGAAACCCTTCTTAAAGCACATCCCACCTTTCCCCCCCCCCTTCCCATACACACACAGTTTATCCAGTAGGTCACTGCTTGTCTTCTGAATGCTGGAAATGGACAGGCTGCCTCAGCCCAGCTTACAACAGTCTCTGTGAAGCTCTGCCAGACCATCTGGGGGTTCTCCTCAGCCCCTCTCCTCCTGGGGGCACCAACTAATCGAATTTCAGCCTATAGCCTCCATCCCATTTCTTGAGGCTGGAGTCATACAATCTGCATTCTTTGCACATCAGGCAGCTTTGCTGACATTCCTAATTCCTCAGAAAACTCAGAAATACTCAGAGAGCAAACAGCACAATTTGTCAGCACGATATGAGGGGGTTTTTTCAAAGGCAATTTGTGAAGTATATTTTAGGGAAGCTAATGTGGGGGAAAGGAAATTTTATGTTGCTGTAGCAACTCAAGCAAAAAAAAAAAAAAAAAAAAAAAGATTCATGCTGCAGCACCTATGTTCAGAGCAGTTTACTCTTAAAATACCATTGATTTCTTCAGTGAAGGAAAGCAATCGACCAATTTTACAGTGGCTGCCTGCTGCTTCCCAAACCAGCAGCGTTAAAAGTTCAGACTAAAACAAGGCTCCTCTCTAGCACAATTATTTGAGGCTTTTCAAACAAGAAACCAATACATGTCCAGATTATACACTCAATATGTGTCCACTTGAGGAGTGGACAGTCTTATAAAATTTAATTCAGACGTTCAGCTCTTGGTCCAACCAGTAGTCCATGAAAAATGCTGGGAAATTCTACAATTCTGTTTATGCTTTGGCACAGTCTGCTCTTTTTTTCCTCCCTATGGCCAAACATCATCTTGCCAAAGGCTTTTCTCCTGAACGAGTTGCAGCCAAATCAGTATTAAACTCAGAAATGGAGGAAAAACTGCTATTTTCCTCCAGAGAATGAGGTTTGTAAGAAGCTCATAATACAAATGGCTTTGACTGGAAAAGCATAGAAAAATCTCAGTTAACTACATGTGAGATCAATTAAAGGAAAAACATTAATGGGGAAGACATTCCTCTGATCAGTACAAAAAAATGGATTTTGATGAGAAAGAAATTTGAAAGCTAAAAATAGAAAAAAAGTAGATGAAAGGAGGAGCAGGGTGAGAGAACAAGAATGATAATAGAAAGCTAGAAAGAAATAGGATTTTCAAGCAAATTAAAGTAGAAATGCCTGGGTCACATTACAGATAGCCCAGACAATGTGAAGACAGGTTTTTGAATTTGAAGAAAAAGATTGAAAAACTACTGGTGGGATTTGGTGAACTGAAAGGTAAGAAGGTTAGAGGAAGAAGTACAGAGATCCTTGTCAGCAGCTCTTTCATATATTGAGAGGAAGATAGCAAGAAAGCAATGACAGTGTTCAGAAAAGACCACAGCAACTCTGTAAGAGGTAGTTTAGAGAGCAGCTTGCATACTCCAATGATTTCTTGCTTGTAGCACCGGTATCTGCAGGCACATTTGGCATCTTGCCTGAAGACTCACAGCTCAGAGAGGTCCCAGCAGGAGCTGTGTGGCCCAAGTTCATCCTCTGGATGAGGGGAAGTTTTCTGGACAGAGCACTGTACATGTTTCAGCATACTGGAGATATTTAGCAGTGCAACTGCATATTTAACATGGGCTGTATGAGACACAGATGCTCACCTGCTGTAAAATGTGTGCAGTCTTTAAGCTGAGAATGATGATACCACCAATCACACATACACAATCTGCAGATTGGAACAAACATGTCATGGAGAGGAACTCATCATTTCAATTTCCAAGAGAGCCAAGGGGTTCAGAGTTGGTTTTACTTTGCTTTTTTTTTCATTTCTGAGAGCCAAAAAGGTTGCTCAGGGAAAGGAATGGGTGGCAGGCAGCTCTGGCTCTTGGCCGTTGCTGGCTAAGCACACTGCAGGAGAAGCAGTGACTGTTTTCCAGAGAAAAAACACTCTTGCAGCCCTCTGCCATGTTCTTGCCTTTTCCTTGATTGCAGATTGCATGGTTTCTGGCTTATTCTCCCTTGTTTTAAACAGCCACCTAAGAATGAAAGAAAAGCTCACCTGAAATACCCTGTTACATGAACCTTT